AGGTGGTGATGTGAGCCATGCGGGTGGCTGTAAACACAGACGAAGCTTTGCTTGCCTGCCTGCCACTCACCTCCTGTGGTGCGGCCCAGCTCCACAAAAGCCGTGGACCAGGACAGGTCCACAGCCTGTGGGGTGAGGTCCACAGCCCGTGGGGTGGGGCCCACAGGCGCAGAGTCCTGAGCCCAGAGGAGAGCTTCCTCTGCCTACCCTCATAGAGCAACACCGGGGATGGCACAGGTGATTGTCAATATACATTTCTTCTTCAAAAAGTTTCTAAAGCAGAGGTAAAATCTGCATTTTTTAGTAGTGATTTTTTCCCAATGAAAAAATAGAGAGCTGAAGAAACCATTTCTTTTCCTTCTTATCACAGCTGATGAGAGGCAGCCCCAGATCCCTCAGCTTCATTTTAAAGAAGCCCCCAGGGAAGCAGAGTGGCTCTGATTTGTCTCCTTTGCCTGTCACCTGTGTGTGGGTGGCCTGGGCCGTCACACAGGGCCCATGTTTGGTTTAATTTGCTGCTGTTCCTGTTTTGAAACTCTCAATACTTTCTGAAGAAGGGATCTCAAATGTTCATTTTGTACTGGGCCCCTCAGTTTACACTGCCCGGACACGCCGTCTGGAGAGGGAGGGCGGCAGTCAGCAATGCACAGAGCATTTCAGAAGCATCTCTCTCCTCCTAAAGGTACGCGGATGAATGACGAGGGTGCCCTTGCTCTCATTCTCCTGTCATCTCTTTTTTGTCTTCCACCAAAAACCTGGCTGTGAAAGGCAAGGACTCAAGTTCTGATTTAAATGGATGGGCCCAGAGCATTACTCACTGCGTCTGAGGTGGGCATCAGGCCAAATAAAGAAGAGGCAGCAGGGCAAGGGACACTTGTGCTGAGTCTGAAGTGTCTCCCCAGCATAATTAGGCTTTTAAAGCTTACTGCTCTATTAGGAGAAAGCCGAGCATGAGTGCTGCATTAGAATTCAAATTTCATCTAAATAATATTAAATCTCCTCCTTGGCATCCTGCTTATGCTAATCCTTTCAGACTTAATGATGTTTATCAGGACTTACATTTCCTCTTCTTTAGAAATGTGCTTAGCTAATGAAGAAAGGTTGGTTTTACTCAGAAGAGAAAGATTCACACGAAGCAAAGCGCATGCAGTGGCTTCTTATTTTGAGCACTGCAGGTTTAGCTTCTCACCGCAGCGACTTCATATTCATCAGGCCCTGAGTATAACCTCCCCTCTGCACACTGTTGATTTAGGGCAGAAATAAAAGCTCAGACAACACAGAAAAGGCTCCTCTCACACACTACAGTGTCTGAATACAAATGGTTCCTAATTGAAGGCTAAACTTCCTCATTTTGTCCACAGCCAGCTGCAAGGATGCAACAGCCACTCTGTGTGGCCTCAGATGTAAGCAGCACATAGGAGAATGTTCCCAGCCCTTGAGCACTAATGCCTGAGACGCATGCCTGGCATGAGGGGAAGGGGCCATGGCCCTGCAGGGAACCTCACCCCAGTCTAGGGTGGCTCAGTGAGAGGCCCTTTGGCCACGTTCTGGTCTTCTGGGACTCTGAGGCTGAGATCTCAAGGCCCAGCATAGACCTTGGGTGCTGGTTGCTCTTTCACTTTGGTTTCCTTCCCTGAGTTACTAAGTTTTCATTCGCTCTTCTTTGCTCTTAAATCTCTAGGACAGTCTTCGTCCCGAGCAAGGTTTTCTTGGATTCTTTTGTGCATTTCTCCTGTTTCCCCTGCCCCATTCCCTTTACCGCTTTCCTCTCTCATAGAGGCCAGGCAGGGGCCTCTGTGTGCTTCCCACACAGAGTGTTGGTGAACAGGAGGTAGGAAGCCCTGCCAGGAGGTGATGAGGGAGGGTCTGGCTGCGGTGATGGTCCTTTTGACATCCCGTGATGGACAGAAGAGAAGCACGGCCTTAACCATTTTGGTTACATTTAGAGTCAATATTTATGTCCTTGAAATGAGTCTTTTTCCTACAAAGCTGTGCTAGCACATTGTTTTTCAGCATGGCATTCTTCTTCCAGACTTAAAAAACAGACTTGAGACAGACACTGGGAATAAGCCAAGGCAGGGATGGAGGGGCTTTTGCTCCCACTATCCCTCTCTCTATTTATAGGTCTTGCTTCAAAAGGGAGACTGGGCTCCATAACAGCAGCAATACTGGTGTGAGACGTTGTTCACAAGCTACAGAAGGTGGGAATGGTTTACGTTCTACACTAAAGACTTGGTGGTAAGTGCAACAATGCTATTACCATTCATTTATTTATGACCCAGCTTGTTCAAGAAAGAATTTAAGGAGACTTACAATAATCTAAAAAAATACAATAAAAGAGAGTAGATGAGAAAATTACGGCAAAAGAAAAAGATAGAAAAGGGTAGCTGAAACCAGTGATGAGGTTGATGCAGAAAATTCATGTCAAAAAATTACAGGTTTTGGCTTGGCGCCTGTGGCTCACGTGGCTAAGGCACCAACCACATACACCTAAGGTGGTGGGTTCGAATCCAGCCCAGACCCACCAAACAATAATGATGGCTGCAACCAAAAAATAGCCGGGCGTTGTGGTGGGCGCCTATGGTCCCAGCTACTTGGGAGGCTGGGGCAGGAGACTCGCTTTAGCCCAGGAGTTGGAGGTTGCTGTGAGCTGTGAAGCCATGGCACTCTACCCAGGGGGATAGCTTGAAGCTCTGTTTTAAAAAAAAAAGAAAATTACAGGTTTTTAGTACAGGTAGAACACGTATTTGACTCCAAGCCTTCCAGCAGCCAATACAAAGAGGAAAGCACCCTGAAATGAATGAATTTAGTGTTGGTAATATTAAAAAACAGACCAGTTGTCCAAAAGAAACATAATGCTTTTGGATGCTGAGGCCAGAGAAAATAATCCTTCTTCCCATTTTCACAGAAAGGACAATACATAACATAAATGCCCAACAGTCTGGCAGGGAATTCATCAGTGAGGTGGGCAGGCCTCTTCTTAAAGCATCCCTCAGTGCTGGAGCTGGCATCACCCAAAGGCCACCGGGGAAGGGCACGTTTTTGCAGGCAAGTGTTGGCTCCAGTGTTGTGACCTGGGCATCACACCAGAGGGTGGGCGTGGGATTAAGTGAGGCAGAGAACAGAGTGCACTTAGTATGCGTGCTGGAAACATCTGAGACAGGCCGGGAAGTCAGAGCGTTCCAGCCTAGATAGGCGGCATTTCCTGTAGGCATTCCTGAACAACATGGTTTCCTCTAATGGAGGCTTTGCTGATTAAATCAGCTGGCATTGCTTTTGGAGCAAAATACTCTCTGTGCTTGCTAAAGAGCTCTGAGAGAGCCAGCAGGCAGGTGACTGAGAGCCTGGAGAAACTCGTATCTGAAAAAGAGGCAACTCTGTAAAACACAGCTCTGAGTCTGGACCAATGAACCACCACAAGTACAACAGAGGCCGTGAAGTTCATGCTGAAGGGCATGGCTGCAATACTTTCAGCACTGGGAGAGACTAGAGTGGCCATTCCCAAATATTCACCATAGTCTACTTTTTTTTTTTTTTGGTTTTTTGGCTGGGGCTGGGTTTGAATCCACCACCTCCGGCATATGGGGCCAGTGCCTTACTCCTTTGAGCTATGGTGCCACCCCGAGTCTACTTTGAAAATTTTTTTCAGGAAAACACTTTCAGAATATTTGGATAATGCATGTTCTTGATAAAATCTCTAAAATTAAAAAAAAAATCAAAATTTATGCTTAACTAACTAGATTCATTGAATTACTCTATGAGGACGTGATTCACAAGTCAATTACTGTTGGGGCATCTCATGAACAAATGCTCCCTAGAAAAGTAGTTTTAACCCTTATAGTTGAGAAATAAGAGGGAAACTATTATATTAAAGACACTTCTTCAAAGGAAACAGTCATCATCACAACAGTGACAGCAGCCATCCCCACCCTCTTCTATGGCATCTAAATATAGGAAAATGAATATCTGGATATTCTCTGAATTAGAAGTGGGAAGGGTCACAGGGGGTGATGCATTCTGTTCATCCAGAGGTGGTTTCAAAAGAAGTCATCACCTCTATTGTGCACCACTGAAAACTACTATAAGGATTCATCAAGAGACCAGCCTGGTTTTAAGTGTGATCTCAGTGTTGGGGTCTCTATATGCCAGAATTTCTGAGTTCATTTAGTTAAGCTCTTTCCTATCTACTGAACCCAAGGCCAAGGGCCAAGCAATAAAAAGTACAAATATCCTCAGGTTGGTCCAAATTCTCTGCATGGTGTTAAAGAATACAATGGACAAGGAATATCTATATAATACTGATAGAACACATGCCTGAAAACATCCCCACTACTCCAGGTTGCAATTCATACATTAAGAACCTGGCTTTTACTTCAGACAGAATGTTTAAGAAACTAATAGGTATTATTTCGAAGGAACAAAGGTTTTGCTTCGTAAATTGCAGGATGGGGGGCACTATGGACTTAACTCACAGCCCACCATTATGGTGGTCTCCAAAGAGTCCTGGAGGCAGAAAATGATCTCTGGGTATTGTGTTTAGCTTGAATTTTTAATCAACTCTATAAAAAGAGGAGATATTTGATTTAGCAGATACTGTTTTCATAGTTTACTTGCACATCTTAAAAAGATGTTAAAAAAATGTCTGTCTCTGGTTTAAGTTTTCTTGCTTATGGTGCTGCTTCAAAAAAATTAGTAAAGGGAGACATGAAAACCTAATTCTGTTTTCAAAAACATTGTAACGGGGATAAAAGAATGCTGTGAAATCAACGGTGAGATTGGAACAATAATTTAAAAGGAAATGCACATAATTTAACTCCTAGTTTCTAGGGAATGCAAATCAGACATCATAGGAACAAACTATTATAAACATCAACTTTCTGCAGTCACTCCAGGGTGTCACTTCAGTTGCCAGTGAGGAAATATCCTCAAATAGCTTCACAAGGATATAAGCTGTTCAAATTAAATATTGCCAAATAAAGGGTCACGGTGTCTTTTATTTTTGGTGAGGCCCGTCCTGCTGGATCCCGGACGGCCCTGACTCACTCTGGCATCGCGTCAGCCTTACCTGATCGAGGCAGTTGCTGCGTAGATACCTCAGCGCTTGTTGGATGCTCTGGGGCAGGGGCTGGCCCGTCCTCTGCACGTGGACTATGAGAGGAACGCCAAAGACAGCCTTGTCTTTGTAATCAGGAACTTTCATCCTCTTCATGAACTTTGGAACTGACCTGGAATTCACAGAAACCAGGTCAGGCAAGGGCCCTGGGGCACTGTGGAGGGAAAGGCCAGGGAAGTGAGGGAGTGACAGAGAGGGAAGCCAGGCTGTTTTTGGAATACCTGACAAGCACAGGGAATTCCACCTTCTCTCTGTATGAATCACACTCGAGGTAGTACTAAGTGGGGCCCTGGGCTATGCCTTATCTGGAACTACCAAACAGCATGAGTCACATTAGCAGAATGCATTTGTAGCTCTGTTTTCAAGTCAAGTGGACAACTCTCCAACTTAACTGTGACTGCCGCATCTCTCAAGTGATGAACACCCCCAAATCCCTAACACAACACAATGGATTTAAAATTACAACAGGAAGAAGAAATTTGGTTGGGGTTGGGGGAGAAAGGAGAAGAGATAAGATGAATCCTATTTCTTGGCTATATCTTTACTTTTTCTAGATATATAAATGCCAGTTGTTCTTTCTAAAAGAAATGTTAATACATAAGCCTGTATTGATTTGGCCATGCAGTTTATAACCTTCTAAATTATTTTTATAAAAGCACTATCGATTTTTCTACATTCATAATATATAACATCGGGCAATTCCTGACACATTTTATATTTTTTCAAATCTACCAACTCATGTACAACAGGTCCACGTTCAGGTTTCAACATATGCTTTCGTCAATTCCTTATTACAAAGGTTTCCCGCATAGTCCTGATTCTATTTGGCACTGAAATAAAAGCAGGAATGAATTTGAAGAATTAAATGGTCTTTGAATGAACCAATGCTCTAAGTGGTGAGCTCTGCATCAGGCCAGAAGGTGTAAGTGACAGATGTTTCTTTGCGAACTGCCAAAATTATTTTATGGCAAGTTTATTTTTATTTCCTCTGTTTGCCATTAATCACGCTTTACTTGTCTTTTCTTTCTTTCCCTGGAAACCAACTGAGAGCTACAAATAAAGCAGTGCTTCCTGCGTGCTCCCTCGCCCCGGCAGAGCGGCAAACATCCCCTCCCGGAGATCGTCAGAAGTCAGGAAGCCAGCAGCGAAGCCTTTGCAACTGTACCTTAGCTCTACCAGCCTGGGCCCCCGCCCAGGTGAACGTGCTACGCACCATGTCCAGCCGTGCTTGTTGGACATGGAGTATCTCTCCATGACGGCTGTGAGGCGAAGCAGAGAGAAGCGCTGGAGGAGGTTCAGCTGCCCGGCCGTCTGGCTGCTGATGGGAGGCGACGCTGGGGCTGGCCGAGGCTGGTGGGAGAGCTGGAAACTGTTCCACCGGAGTCGCCTTTACCAGAAAGAGCGTCAGAGACGCCAAGTCACAAAGTGAACTTGGTCTCGGGAGACACTGGACATTGCCAATACGTAAGTAGCTTAATCAAAATAGTTTCCCAGCCAAGGACACCACCGAGCAAATGGAACAGAAGACACAAGTGTGCAGGATAAACACACAGGATTTTTTCCCCCAAGTTGGATAAATCCAGGAAAAGTCTCATTATCTGTTTTATTAGGAGGTTTAAATAAAAGGCATAAAACACTTTGCTTGTGTATTCCCACATTTGTTCCCAAACTGTTGAAAGCAGTCGAGTGAGGGTGTGGGTATGTGAGAGACACAGAGAGTCAGAGAGACAGAGAGGAGAGGAAAGAGAGAGAGATACACCCAGAGAGACAGAGAGACAGGGAGACCTCTCAAAGGCTGGGGCCTGCTATGCCTCCAAGCTGTAATTATGTTTGGTGCCGAGATGGAGCCTGAGGGTGACAGGCACAGAGTAGGATAACACATCCATCCCTGCCTCAACTAGAAACACCACGGCATGCACAGTGGTCCTGGCCCTACTCGCCAGGCCCTCTCAGGCCCATTGTTCTAGGTGCTCCTGAAATGGTCTGTGTAAGTCAGGCCTTACGAGTGCTGTCTGGGAAGCATCCAGCCAGGTATTATGGGAATAGAGACATATGCAGCTGGATTCTTTCTGGACAGCCCTCATACGTACTTTGTAATCAGCACTTTAAGGCAAAAACAAACTCAGAAAGTGCACACTCTAGGCTACAGAAATTTATCAGGGTATTAAGAAGATTTTGTAAATTCTGAGGTAGAGACATTTTGATCTATACTGTTGCTGGGTCATGGGAACTGCCCATGTATAGGAACGGGGTCTTAGTTATGCAGGGCTCTCTACAGAAAATGGCTGGAATAGTGCTTTGCACAGAAGAAGCTCAAAAAATTGTTTTTTTGAATAAAGCTAAGATTGGGCTGATGGTTTTGTGCCAGGCACAGTGGCTCACACTTAACAATTCTAACGTTTTGGGAGGTTTTCGTGGGAAGATTCCTTGAGGCCAGGTGTTTGAGACCAGCCTGGGCAACATGGGGAGATCCCATCTCTAAACACACACACACACACACACAAATTATCCAGGTTTTGTGGTGGGCACCTCTAGCCCCAACTACTTGAGAGGCTGAGTGAGGCAGGAGGATCGCTTGAGTCCAGGAGTTTGAGATCGCTGTGAGCTAGGCTGACACCACGGCACTACACCCAGGTCAACAGAGGAAAAATTGTCTCCAAACAAACAAACAAAAAACCCCCTAAAAACCAAAAACTACTCCCCAAAACTAAGATCAAAATGCAGGACAAACAGTCAGAAATAAATGCACGTCAACATGGATTCAATCACCATGGTCTGTACAAAAGACATACTTCTGTTCAAATAATTCCTAACCACATATATCCGTTAGAACAGTGTCAGGCACCAACTGAGTGACAAATTATTTCACAAAAGGCTGCCACCTACCTGTTTGGCCTGGTCAGAGAGGCCCCTACACCAGAATCCCTCCTCTCTCTGACCCCTGGGACCTCAGAGTCATTCAGAGATGTCCCATCTCTTTCCACATCGCTGGGTGTTGTCCGACCTTCTGAGACAGAGTTACCTTCAAAATCTAGGGTGATCTGATTAGGAGACGGAAAGGGGGATAAACCTGACTCCCCAACCAATGCCTCGTGAGTCTGTGCCTCCAGCAAGGCATTTTTCGACCAGTCATTTACTACCTCCCGGACCCCATTGACGTGCTGCAGGATGTCCTCCAAGGGATGGATGAAGTCGTCTTTCTCCAAGTCCAAAAGATCTCCTGTGCTGGCGTATAGGTGGGAGCCTGGCACGTTGTCATAGATGCTGACGCGGCTTGCTCTGTGGCAGGACTCTGTGAGCCCTGGCTCCCTGGTGCCAGGGCTCTGCTGTCTGCCCAGGGAGAGGCTGCCTGTCCTCCAGTTAACCCCACTGCTGTTGTCTGTGGGAGAGAGGCTTTCAATAGAAAGTGCCTTGGGGAATGTTCCTGGTTTGTGATCCTTGGGAATATGCACCACCAAGTTCTCTTGGGAATGAAACTCGTGCACGTGGCTTTGGTCCCCGGCCCCCCGCGGTGCTGGCCCTGCCAGCACGTCCAGGTCGTCCAGGTACATGCCCCCGCGCTTGCTGGCCTCATGGCACTTGCGTTCCTTCGGGCACGGTGTGCTCACCCCGCTGTTGCTGTGCTCCGATGGGCTGCTCTCGCCACTCGATTTGCCGGAGCAGGGAAGCCCTTTCCTGCAGGCAGCTGGGTGCGAGCTCTGCAGGTCTCCGTTTGGTATCTGGATGCACTGCATGGCCTTGAAGGACTCTGGCTCCTGCTGCAACACGGGCCCGCTGATCACCAGGCCCCCTGTTCGCCCTGAGCCCTTGTGCCTTCCATGTGCTCCTTTCGCTCGGAGCGTTTCCATGCGTTTCAAAAATGATTTGGCCCTGGTCCTGGTGGGCTTCTCATTCTTGGGGTGGAGAGGGTGGTGGAGGACATCTCTGGGGGATGGGGGGAGGCCACTGCTGGCCGGCGGGCCGTCCAGCATGGCCGTGCTGTCCGTGCAGAGCTGGCCTGACTGGCTGCGGCCGTCGCTGCCTCCACTGCTCTCACTGTGGATGGAGCAGACCTCGGGCTCACTCAGGTCTGTGAGGACACTCTCACTGCTGGGTGTGTTCCTCATCCCAGTGCTTATCGGTGACCCGTTTCTGTCTCCACCAGGGAACAGTGTGTGGAGATCGTCCACACGAGACCATCTGCGGCTGGTTCTTTGGAAAGTCCATTTGTTGCTGATACAAAGATCTTCTTCATCGGAGTCATCACCCTGCAAAACATCAAGGAAAATGCTCATTTCTGGGCAGTGTGGTGGTGGCAGGAGCTCTGGGGGAGCACCACAGCCTGGCATGGTCCTCTAGCTCCCCTGGCCTCAGGACTCCGGTGCGTAAGTTCCCCTGGCCTCTTGGGAACCTCTCCTCTGTCCTCCCACCACTTTCACTGTCCTGCACATCCTCTTCCTCCCCAGGGGTCAGAAGACCTCTTCTCAACTTGCCAAGTTTTCTTCCCTTCCATTTTCATGGAGTGTTTGAATCCTTCCTTCCTCTCTGAGAAGTTTTCCAGTTGATTACAAAGAGGGTGTAATCACCATCTGACTAGACAGTCTAAATATAAAACACCTGCAGTCCTCTTTCTCACAAAGAAACTCGACTCAGCCATAAAAGGCACTGATTGCTTTCCAGAAACCTCTTCACTGAGCCCTGCCGGGACCGTACGTCCAGTTTCCGTCTTCTGAACCTTGATGTCCACGTACCTAAAGCTAACACACCTTATCTGAGTCTTCCAAACTTGATTCTTATTGTCTGTTTCCTGTATTAGCTAATGGTAAAATTATCTCCTGAATTTCTTTAAGTAGCAATTTGGGAGTCAACTAGGGACCATTATTTGAAGAGCATCCACTCAGCTACCCTGTTTGACCAGACTTTGAATCTGGATGCCTCTGGCAGGTCACACACCTCCCTGTGGCCACCGCAGTTCCCATGGCCTCAGGCTGTTTCACACTTTGCACTGCACACATTCACGTTGCTGTCCGCCTGAATTTGCAGCCCCTGGAAGATGAGAGCCTGTCTTCCCTGAGGCCAGAGATGGCCTTGTTTATCTTTGCACATCCTTAGGCCTAGTAAAACCTGACCTGGGACATGTAACTTTCTTCTAAAACAAACAAAATTGTCAGATACATATCACCAAGACCCAACTCTGAAATGATTTGCAAATCTGTTCCCTCATTTCTGTCTTTGCTCTTGTTCTCTTAATCTAGGCCCCTGTCACCTCTCTCTGGATCTATTACAGTAAAAGTTGGCTAGAATCCTTGTGGTCAGCATCTATTCCACCTCAACATCTTTCCAGACTACCATCTGAATATTACCAGAGAATTTTTCAGCTTACAGGGGATGAGCTCATCAAGAACAGGGTCTGTTTCTCTGCTTGATCCATCTACAACACATTTACTCATATGTCTATCTTCCCCAATGCTAACCAGATAATAATGTCTTATTTTTGTTTGTTAATTAGATTGGGTTTATTTTATTCTGTTTGAACACTCAGTTTTAAAACCTGTTTCCAACCATCATTGGTACCAGATAGGAACTATGTGACTCTGCAAGTTACTGGTATACCCACTCTAAAGTTTATGTCACTTACAACATGACATTTAAAACACATCCTGCATTATAGGTTTGCTGAGGGGATTAAATAAGGCAGTGCATTCCTCCCTTACTGAGGAGTATTTGTTTAATTTTTATTTTTCAATATTTCTTCAATTGCTTATCCATCTTTTCACATATTTAACTTCTACCTTAATGCT